CCGAGATACAAGAAATTGGTGTTTTTTCTGCAATAATGGACTGATAGTCGAATTTTTTATTGCGAAAAATTTTGTTTATTATCTTCATGTATTTTTGCATCACACTGCGAGAGCACTTTCTTAATTTGTTTAAAAGGGAAGCTAGTGGAATGTCTTTTTTAAAGTTGCTTATTTTTCTTTATCTATATATAAACATATTTAAATCTTGTACTTTTATTTCGAATGATGTATAGTATGATTGCGAAACATAAAGTTTCATTGTATAGAATGTTGATGACGTTTTGTTTATAACAACGATGACATGGACAGCAAAGACGAAATTAAATTACGTTTCATCTTCCAACGTTTCAACATAAAAACAGAGCCAGCGGGTAAGACACCGAATTCGCATATATTGAAAATTATAAAAAACGCATAAAATTAATACTTCTCTTCATATAAACTTACAGATACAAAAATGGAGAGTAACATAATCGCAGATGTGACAGATATAGCCGAGGTTAGTTGAAATATATTACGATTATACATAACGAATCTTACAATAATTAACAAACTATTCATTTTTATTCCAGAAGTTCTGTCACATTCGCCCCCCTGTTCTTAAAATAAATCACGCGAAGGATAAAGAGCTATTGGCGAGAAAGGAAGATGACAATGAAGCAATGAAAAAAAAAGAAACGAAAAAAAAAGGAAAAAACCTAAAAAAAGAGAGACAAGAAAAAGAAAGGCCATCAACGAGCAAAGTAGACAAAAATTGTGAAGAAATGAAAGAAAAAGGGTAAGGAAGCAATTTGAACCAGAATAAGAGAAACGCATATTGGGGTAGACAGAGAAGAAATGGTAGGCAACAAGCGGGATATGGAAGCACGCAACAATGGAGGGGAAGAGATAACGATCGAGATAGAGTAAGATGTGGACGAGCAGGTCAGCACGTACAGGCAAGGTGAGAAGCAAGAAAAATAGAAGACAATTTAAGAAAAGTTGCGAAGATTCTGACCCACATGTTTGAATTATAAAACTTTTTTTTTTAATTTACGTGTTTGTATTNGTATCATCGAGATAACTATTAATAATGAATTTCATATAATCTGTAAGCGTGAATATTAATAAAAATATTTTTTACAGCTGCAAAAATTTGTGCGAATCGTAAAATTGTGATTGTAACCAGTCTTTGGGACCAATTTTTTGGTGGCCAAGCATTGGTACATTTACCTTAAGGTAAAGGCACTAGTTACTGGCCGCGACCAGTACCTGGCCACCAACACCATTTCACGAATTATAAGAATTAACTTTAATACTAATTCGTGCCAGGATAACATAACTGTAAAAACTTATCAATAATTCATTTTAAAATGCAATGAAGATAGTTTTTTTTGTTCAAGACTTTAAAAAATAATTTTGAAAAAGTCAAAGTGGTGGCCTAGTACTAGAGCACTTGTACATAAAATTTGTACATAACCTCACTTCTGCGAGCACTAGTAGCCGACCACCTCGATTTATGTACATTTATCATGGGGTGGTCAGTTACTAGCTCTTAAATTTGGGCCACTAAAGCAACCTTTTTTCAGTGGCCATGTACTAAAGCATCTGACATACTCAGATTATTATACATTATTATTGTCTACGGTCGGATATACGACTTCTATTAATCGTATAGATTAAAATATATTCATAGCTTTAAAATGATACCTAACAAAAGTTAAAATTTTAAAAACTGTTTAAAATATATGATGTTCTTTTGATAACAGCTACTAAGTGGCCAGTAACCAGTACTTTAACCTTATGTATAAAAAGCACACAATGGCTCAAACGGCTAGGTTGTTGGTCGGTACGCAATAAACTGTAATTCGATTTCCAGCTAGTGCGACTTTTTAAAGCACGTATTGAGTACTTAAGAGAAAACCCTAAATATAATTACAAGTTAGTTTTCAATGCGTTATTTTACAATTCCTAGGATCAAAACTATTTACCATATACTTCCCTAATGTATCAGTTTTTAAGCCTATGTATTATTACGGTAAAAGTGAACAAAAAAGCCCATTAATTATTTTAGTAAGTGATTAAATCTTCCTAGCCGTTAGATTTATACTTACCAAACAGACTAGTTTAGTAACTAATAGTTTGTGAGTTTTAAAACACATACTACGTTACTCATAAGATCCTCTTAGCTCTCCGTAGTTTAGTTTGTGCTTCCTGGCCCAAAAATTAAAAATTACTTACCCACCAAATAATTTAACTAAGTCAAAGGCTAGTAAGCCAGTTAGCAGTCCCATACACCACTATGTTGTAGGCCCATGAATCACTATACTCTTGAGTCACTTTGATCTCAGTGGTTTAGTTTGTGCTTCCTGGCCAAAAATTAAAGATTACTTACTCATCAAGTATAACAGCTTCGTCAAAAGCTAGCTGGCCAGTTTGTAGGCCCATGAACCACTATACTCTTGAGAGTCACATCGATCTCAGTGGTTCAGTTTGTGCTTCCTGGCCCAAAAATTAAAAATTACTTACCCACCCAATAATTCAACTAAGTCAAAGACTAGTTAGCCAGTTAGCAGTCCCATACACCACTAAACTCTTGAGAGCCAGTTATCTCTCAGTGGTTTAGTTTGGGCTTCTTGGCTGATAAATTTACAATTATACTTATCAAATATGCCAGCTTGGTCAAAAGCTAGTCAGTCAGTTTTGAGTTCCATACACCACTACTCTTGAGAGCTAGTGAGCTCTTAGTGGTTTTTTTCGTGATTCTTGGCCACTAAATTTATAACTATCTACTCATGAAAAATGCCAGCTTAGTCGAAAGCTAGTTGTCCAGTTTTTTGGCACATACATCACTACATTTTTGTGAGCCAGTTAGCTCTCAATGGTTTAGTTTGTGCTTCCTGGCCTATACATTCAAAATTATCTACTCATCAAATATACCAGCTCAGTCAAAAGCTAGTGAGCCAGTATTTAGTCCTATACATTACTACTCTTGAGAGCTAGTGAGCTCTTAGTGGTTTTATTTACGCTTTTAAGCCACTGACCTTGTAATTATATCTACCAAATATACTAGCTTACTCAATGTCTAGTTGATGAGTTTTCAGGCCCACATACCCTAGTACTTATGAGAGTCAGGTAGCTCTTAACGGTCTGGACTATGCTGCGTTGCTACTAAACTACAACAACTTGACTTACAGTACAAGCTTGGTGACTGACTGAGTGGTGTGTTTTGTATGGTCCATATGTATGTGCAAAAAGCACCTCTTAAGACACCCAGTTACATGTCAGTGGTTCTGTTTTTTTCCTTATTAAATATACAACCTTAGTCTGGCACCAGCTAGCTATAATATTTTCTTAGGCCCATATACTATTACTCTTGAGATCTGAGTAAGAGCTCTTAGTAGTTTGGCATGTACTTCCTGGCAATAAAACTTGTCATTACTGTCACCAAATTTATCAGCTTAGATATTAACTGAGAAGTAATAATTTTTTAGTCAATGTATTATGAAGAAAAAAACTAATTCAAGGAGCCAGTTAGCGCTCAGTGGTTTAGTTTAATCATCTTGGCTCTGAACTTGACACTTCACGTTATTTGTGACAATGTGCATAGTGCCTGACAGTGCATTCATGCATATACCTTAGAATCACCAATTATTCACATGCATGTATATACATCATATTATGACGTTTATATCAGCAATAGTTCACAACTGGGCCGGTGGTGGCGCTGACAATGATTAGCGCTCTGAAGGTTGCGGTTGGCAGCAAACTTTTGACCATCGCGGCCAACGCTGCACATGCAAGTTTGAGCAGAAGATGGCGCTTTCTTTCAAATTTTTAAAGTTATCAAATCTCTGTGGCTTGACACTAATAATTTATTACAAAATTCTTTCAAGTCCAAAAAGTTCAGACTTTTTAGTCAATTGTGAGTCATCAGAGATATAGATTGATTTGATAGTCGAACTCGAAGTCAAGCCAAATATCACTTATAGTAATAATGTTTAAAACTAATGAACGTTTCGTGCATAAATACAATAAAATAATATGCCTAAACACTGCAATAATCAATTAAGATAATTATTTTGATAAGATGAGCAGTACTTTACTTCTTGATTTTTCAAAGAGATTTTCGATAGTTAGATTTTTATTGATACACTATTTTCTCACTAATAAATCAAAAGACTTCATTTAAATATTAGACTATCACTCAAAATATTTTAAAATAATATGTGATACTTGAATGCATGTAAGGCTTTTCAGGATTTATTAAATAAAAAAAATTAAAGATTTTAAGAAGACATCAGATACTAATCCTAAGAAATTCCAGCAAAAATTACCATTCTGCACAGTAAATTAAGGCAAGAACAGTAAAAATTTTCATGCGGGAAAGTAACATTTATTAACCAATTCTTTTAAGATTTACTGTTCCAGCATGATAATTTTTACTGTTCCAACCATAATTCTAACTATTTAAACTATAGTTTTTACTGTTAAAACAATAATCTTTTCTGTTACAAGTGATAATTATTTTTTTGTCAGCTTTCATCCCATTTATTGTACAAAATAGTAATTTTTGCCTGAGTTGCTTTAAAATTTTAATAATTTTTCTTTCTCAGAAGAGAGAAAAAAACAGTACGAGACTAGTTATCAACCACTAACATTCTCTCTTTCTNTTTTATTAAAGTGTTATGTTTAAGTAAAATTTTATTTAATGATGAATCACACTGAGTGAATATATAATATTCGCAGTTATCAGACTCGCAAAGTTCTCTTGTATGGTCTATGAAAACGGATGAAGCAAAACGATTATTAGAAGTTCCTGAAGAAGAGTTTATTGACAATTTAAATGATGCTTTGTGGAAAGTGTATCCAAAAGATGGTATCGTAGAAGGTGGGATGAAAGCTTTACAACAATTGCTTGAAAGTTTTCAACTACATGCTGGAGTCTGTAGACAGTTGCAACCATCAATAGCTGGGCTTATTGAAGGATCACGTGCAGCGTTTCCACTTGGGTTTGGTCACGCGGTACATTATGTACAGCCTGGAGTTGCTTTGATTGGGTAAGTAAAAAAATTGTAGTGTAAGGGGTTGTTAAGTACATAAATAATAAATTTCTTAATTTATTCTTAAAAGCTCAGCTCGTTATTTTGCTCGACTTTTTATATTTTTCTTGTATAGTTTTTAACAAGCATTAAAATTTACACCACATCTAAACTGCACTTATGCTATATTTCTTCATAAGGTCTTCCACAACTTTTAAAATAAAGTAAAACTACAAATTTCATATATTTATCTAAAGTTCTAAAAAACTTGTGATGTTTCATAACTTAGAATGTGAAGTACTAATGAATAAAGACTGACTCAAGGACTGACTTTATTTATCTATAGAGGCTGATGTAAAAAAAAATTTTTTTAATGCATTTGTATGAAAAATAGTAATAAATAGTTTGTCTTAGTTTATTTTTTTCACTTAGGTATGCCTAGTCTTCTTTAAAAAAAATTAAACTTCAGTTTAATTTAATTCTATTTTTAACTTAATTTAACGGAATGTATTCAGCTGCATAAGATAGTACAATATATTACAAGATATAACACAAGAATATAGTATGGATATAACATCATCTTGGTAGGCGGAAATGCATTCCACATAAGTACCATCAGGGTATCACAAATAACAAATATTATTAACAAATTTTATTAATAAGAGTTCTTGTAGCATAAGACACATTACAATATGTAGAAAAAACTGTGAGAATTATTAGAAAATAATGTACAACAGTCAAATCAATAATAACACACTTTATTTTTCGTAAGTAGTAGTATTTACATAATTCATTAATATACTTTTGAAAGCTTTGGGTTATGATTTTTAGTAGAATATTCTTTGCAACATTAAGTAGTTTACTGAACAATGCAATTATACTAAAGAGAGAGTGAAACGTTGTTATACTTGTCATTTTTTAAATTCGGGTAAATATTTAGCAGGTCTCAGCACACTTTTAATAGCGGTACTCCATGCACTAATTTACTACAAAAAATACGCATAAGCGATGTGAAATGTAAAACTTTTTTTTATTTTTTAAAGGCAAAATTAAAATACGGCTGGTTTTTAACTAGTTTGAACACACACACTGAGCGAAAAAAACTGTAATATTTATCTAATTATATAATGGCTTGATTGATAGCTTGCAAGGGGGCACTTCTATCACCTAGAATTTATAATACACGATTTACATTTATATTTATTTTCTTGTAATAAAAAATCCATCCAATAGACAATTCAAGGGTACACATTTTTTT